TTTTATTTTTTCACTTCTAGTTTTCGTCTTTGGTGTGACTTTATGGTCTGTTCAAGCACACTAACTTGGATTTATATGGGCGATGTCGTTTGAAACAGGAGAACTGAATGGGTTTTATTTTAATTATAACAAATTTTAGCATCAATGTTATGCATTTATATTAAAATATAAGAGAAACAGACTTGTTGCAGAACACCGACAACACAACACACATTTGTTTAAAAACAATATTGCACAATTTTAGATATGTAACTTTTTCTTTTTATGAACAACCAGCCTAAATATATATATATATATATATATACAAACTATACATGTGATACATATTCAGAGCTGTCACAAACTGCAGGCTTTGATAAAACACGAATAACTTCCCTTCTCCCCATCTTTATCTAAAGTAACAGACATGCCAGAGGGAGTTTTAATTAAGAAATCAAAAAAAAAAAAAAAAAAAAAATCAACAAATATCCTTTTTTACTTGTCAGGGACAAACTGGTCTCCTTTATATCAAACAGAGGAATTCAGCACCGGGTGAATTGGATCTGATTGAGTCAGAGCCTTCATCTTTTTTGTTGTGATGAAAATCACCTAATTCTTCTGAACTGGACAGATATTGATCTGCAGCTGATGGGTTTTTGCACATTCATCCACCATTAAATCTTTATAAATGTTAATAATTATAGCTTTAACTCTGAAATAATACCTTAAAACCCTTTTAACAAAAGTGCATAGACATCGCACAGCTCTCATTTAATTTTATTACATAAATCAATGTAATCATGATTGTGGTTATTCTTCTGAGTATGTGAGGAATATTTGAATAACAAGAATATATTTTCTTCTGCACCTTTCTTAAAGTTAAAGTGTTAAATAAAACAATGTTCATATGAGAGCTCAACCAATTTGCATTGTGGTGTTAGTAATTACATTTTTATTTGTAAAAATATTACGTTATTTGTTTTTCTTTCATCTATATCTACTGTATCTATCTGTCTGTCTGTCTCTATATCTATCTCTTTATATATATATATATATATATATATATATATATATATATACACACACACACGCACACACAATTTTTTAACAAGTTTTCAACTTGTCTAAAAAGATGAAAAGTGCATGTAACAAAATAAATATACAATAATTTAAATTGTCTGTCCTGCAGGTAAGGCAGAAAACTCGTCATTTATGATTTTTTGTATTGTATTTGTACTGATAAGCCTAAATGTTTACTATAATAGCAATATGATTTAGGTTCTTATAATAACTTTTGTTTTTGATGCAGGGAGGACAGTCCTATACCGATGTGCAAATCATAAAGCCAATCATCTGCTACATCTTCAGACATTTTTCCTACTTTGATCTGGGGAAAAAAAGTTATATTTCTGAAAATAAACATAGATTATGCAACTTTTTACGTAGTATATCCACATCTGTGTAAAATCTGTCTCTCCAACAATGTTTGCTCTTTTGTTACTCTAAATCACCACACTCCCCCCTCCGTGCTTTGTCTTCATATATTTTCATGAGGCTGCACCATAAGCACTAATAGTATTGGGTGTTGGTCCGTACAACACCACTTTATGGCAGCGTGATGTTCACCTCTCAGTTGCGAAGGTAGTTGTATCTTTCCTTATTGAGTTGGCTGTACTGATCTGTGTTCATAACCTGATGGTGGCGGTAACACACCAAAAACGCCACCACCCGGAGAAGCCACGTGGAGGCATTTCAAAGTGAACGATGGCAACAAAAATACAGCTGACTGCATTTTCATCAAAGTTCTCAAGAGAAGATATTAAATCTAGCACTTTCAACACCAGCTATTATATAAAATATTTCAAAAGTTTGCTAGGAACAGCTGATTCTGTCACTGAAGATAAGAAGAACCTGAAAATATCCAGATCTGAACGCAAGCTTCACCAAAAACTCACCGATCACCAGTGGGTGCTGTTTGAAAAGACTGTTGTTGTACCCATTATTGGCAAGTACTGTCCTCAAATCTTAGTACTTGTACTAATACACATTGACAGTGGTGGATCTGACCGGGGTCCAGATTTGTTGTAAAACATCTGAGCTGAACAATTTTATCTCGATCTTATCTTACGAAACAATGTGCTCCCATTATTCAGCTGGCTTACTTTAATGGTGTCTTACGGTCTTTTATTTTTTATTTTTTCTGTGCATTTACTCCTCTGCTTTTCAGAGCTAGATTGTACAAGTAGCTTAATCTGGTAAAATATCACTATCAGCCGCTGGCGCTCTGATTGTTGCTCATTCTTTGCCTCCTGATTTCTGCTGCAGTTGTGCCTGCTCTGACTTTTACTTTGTCACTCATCTTCCTGCATTCTTTTCCAACTTTTTGAACTCTCATAATAATATATTATGTGGCATGGAGGCAGCACAGCTGCAGAAAGAAAAGCTTTGCAGAGAGTGGTGAAGGCTGCACAGAAGATGTTGGAGTCAGTGTCCCCACCATCACAGACATCTACACCTCCAGATGCAGGAAGAGGGATCTGCATCATGAAGGACCCCACTCACCCAGCACACACACTTTTTGTCCCGCTCCCCTCAGGAAGGAGGTTGTGGAGCATTAAGTGTAGAACCACTAGACTGAGGAACAGCTTCTACCCTGAGGCTGTTAGACTCATGAATCTCTAACCAGAATAATCACTGTGAAAAATCACATCATGTTGCTGCTGATCTGTTTCATGTTGCTGCTGATTTGTTTCATGTTGATGTGTTCATGCGTGCTCATCTGCTCACACAGACTCATGTTCATGTTCGTGCTGCTGTTCGACATAATGTTTTTATGCTATTCGTGCTTAGTGTATTTTTAGTTAATGTTTTTCTTACTTCATATCTTAGATGTTATCATTGTTTTTCTTTTACATTTTTATTGTTGGATGTAACTGGGACCCTGTGTACATAATTGTACATGTGGTGGAACGACAATAAAGATCTGTGAAGCCAATAATAGGCTCAATGTCTTATGGGGTCGAGGCAGGACAGCCGGCTGGGGACCAGAAAGTCACGGTTCGACTCCCAGCCATTCCCACATGCCGTGGTGTCTGAACAAGACACCCAATTCCCAATTGCACCCTGGGCGCTCACATAGCTGCCCACTGCTCCACCTGGGTGTATCTCATGTGTGATGGGTTAAATGCAGATAACTAATTTTGCCATTGCATGAGACCATACATTGATGACAATGTCGGACTTCCCTTCCACTTCCCTTAGCAAAGATTTGAAATTACTGCGCATTTATCAATTTAAAAGTTAATCAGTTTGGAACAACAGCCACCAAAATGGAGTTAAACAGTTGCACAATAGAACCAAAATCAGGGCCAATTTAGTCAGAAAGTAATAGTCAAATATCAAAACATAAGGCATAATCACTGACCGCATCTTAAACTTTTACAGTATTGTATTACTTTAAACTTCATATCTGCTGACAACTTGTTTAATCCAAAATAAATTTCAATGCACCAATTGGAAAAATAAATAACAATGTGGGTATATCTGTTGTGCCCTGTGTGCAAACAGCCGATTCTCGTGGTTCTGTGGCTACCCAGCAGCAGCAGCAGCCAAACAGAGGGGGCGAAGGACGGTGCGAGTTAGCACGCAGAGAGAGACAGGCGCTCTCATCAGTGACGGGCTCGCTGGCTGCACGGACAGAGCTGCGGTGCAGGAGGAGCCGAAGAGGTGCGACGGGGGGAAAGCTGCCTCAAAACAGGAGGAAAATGCGTGAGAGAGGGAGGCGGGATAAACAGAGCGATCACAGAAGGAAGAGAAGTCATTCAGAGCAGGGAGAAGGAGAAAGCTGGAAGACAAGGACACAGAGCGAGGAAAACGCACTGAGAGCCCTTTTCTGACGAGGAGAGAAGCACGAGAGTGCGCACAGAAAGTGGGAAAGAAGAAGAAGAGGAGGAGGAGAAGGGGGAGCCCAGGCTACAGGACCTAACTGACACAACACAAGAAGAGGAGGAGCATGAAGGCAAGTTGATAGATTTGATTTGGAGTGAGTGTTTTTAGAAGGAGGAGCGGAGACATAAGAGGAATACCAAAACGAGAGATGATGTCTTTGAGTCGGAGAGCACAACTAGACTGGAAGAGGAGGAAGAGTGACTGACGGGAGATGGATAAACGGTAGTGATCAACACTGGGATCAAATTTTCACATAACAGGTTAGCCTCGGTCTGGTGTCCTGCAGGAAAAGCACTGTGCGTGTTCATGAATGTGCATGAGTATATTTTACTTCATGTACAAATGTGTTGTAACTGACCGTGTGTAAGAAGCAGCTTCACGACACGATGAAGTTACCCTGTTGTCCGTAAAGGTGCCTAAAACACCATCTGAGTGAAAAGTGGGACAGAAAACTACTGAGCTTTGGAGACATGTGTGAAATAAATTTTGTGCTTAATATCGACATGGAAGTGATTGCATAGTTTTACTGACAAAACACCTCTGAGAGTCAGTACAGCTCCAAAGCACATAGTTACAGCCTACAAGAAGAGAATCTGGAACAAGCCAAGCTCTCATTGACCAACCAAACCCACACCACAGTCATCTTTGTATTTCTATTTATTTTCACGTTTTGTGTTTTTATTTCTTCCCTTTTCTCCTGCTCCTCTCCTGCCCCGTCCTCTTTGCTCTCTGTCTCATCATCTCTTGTTCACTGTCTCACTAACTGCCATGGACGCTGGACTCATTCATGTAGAAGATACCTTGCTTGGAGCGTATTTTACTCCGATTTTTCTCTTCTTCCCCTGTTGAGTTGGATGATTGGAGAAATTCCCAGATTTGGAGAACATGGAAAGAAAGCCAACAAGTAGCATCTGCTGAGTTCATCACGGCTCCTGCACCAGAGAGGACTTCAAGACACACGTGAGTGTACTTTCACTGAGTACAGGGACACTGTGGTTGAGTCTGCATGGGATCATAGTAGGCAAATGCATATCCACGGGTAGATTACAGTAGTGGATTTGTCCTGGAGCTACATGTGGGTCCCAGCCCCTGAGGCCTGGCTGGGAAATGAAGCCTCTCCTGCAGTTGTAGGAGCGCTGTGGGCAGCCATGGCCCTGGAGGGGCACTGTCTCCGGAGGGGATCCCCGGCCATGATCAGAAAGGGTCGTAAGCGGCGTCACACGAAGCCGACACTGGCTCAGGTCACATCCACTCTGCTGTCAAGGACACGTCTTCACGGCCTGCGGCATGTTTGTGTCCCCGGTGGCTCTGTTGGCCGCAGGGCCTTCTGGTTACTGGCCCTCTGCACCTCCCTGGGATTGCTTTTATCCTGGTCCTCCAACCGTCTACTTCACTGGCTTTCTTTTCCCACATACACACGAGTTCACACCGAATGGGCCAAAGAACTGGCTTTCCCTGCTGTCACTATCTGCAACAATAATCCTATTCGCCTCTACAAACTTACAAAGAGTGACCTGTATTTTGCTGGCCACTGGCTTGGCCTGCTGTTGGCTAACCGGACAGTCAGGCCCATGGTTTTGGACCTGCTGCAGGAGGACCATCTGGCCTGGTTCAGAAAACTGTCAGACTTCAAGCTATTCCTGCCACCCAGAAACTTTGAAGGAACCAACTTGGAGTTTATGGACCGACTGAGCCACCAGCTAGATGAAATGCTTCTCTCGTGCAAATACAAAGGAGAGCCCTGCGGAGCCCACAACTTCTCCTCTGTAAGTCCAACTTCTTCTTTATTTTTCTTTTTCTTTTGGTCAAACACTCAGGAAGACAACCACAGTGTCAGGATATTGCAATCTAGATATGTGTGCCCACTCATCTTTCCTTGCAGTGTTTGTTCCATCACAGCTGTTTCCTCTGCAGTAGTATGAATCCTTTGTTTTATTGTAACACTTTTCCTTGGGCCTGGAGATGGATGACAAGAGAGTTGAGAGATGAAAAACGTGCTAATGTCCACCTGGTCCTACAGAAAAGCACAGTGAGCAACATGTTTGAATGCAACCATTACGTACCTACTCATCAGTCTCAAAATCAATTGACAGCTTTGTTTAGGCAGACACAATTTGCTTGTATCTGAGGTAATTTAAACACAAACGTCTACAGAAAGTGGCATAAAGGAGTGGTGGAGCTGTGCCACTAGGTTTTCTTGAAGAGCCTGGGCTCAGTTTCATTCTATGGGATTGTTTTCCAGTTGCGTTATAGTTCTGTGTTTAAACCTTTATTTTGTTGGGTTTCCGATGATAATTGGATGAAGTCAAACTAGACGGGTTTTTATGCTTCAGAGATGCAAATTATTCTTTGCAGAAACGTATCAAATGCATAATGTTTTCAGTAGAGGGATAATTGGCAGACATGGGAATAGTTACTGACACACTGACTAAAATGAAAATACAGAGCCCAATATATCTTGCTTATATAAGTAATTCACACCTTTCATTGATTCATTCATTTATTTATGTTGGTGTGTTATTTTCCTGCACCTATGTTGTAACAAATAAATATAGGTAAGTTTCATTTGGCTGCTCCCTTCTTCAGGGGTTGCCACAGTGAGCAAACTTGCATGAAAGATTTGTAAGTTGTTTTATGCCAGATACCCTTCCTGACTCAAACTGGACTCAAACCTGCAACCTCAGGATGACAAGACCATGGCATTAACCACATATAAAACACAGCCGTTTCAATAAACATATATACTGTTCTGAATGCCAAGCAGTAATGGGAGCATGCCATTATTGTTTTGGTGTGTTTTCAGCTTTATTAAGGAAGATTTTCTTGTATCTGCCTCAGTGGACATAAACAAACTTTGGCCTGTGAGCTTCTGATTTACATTTGAAGGTGTCAGGAATTTTGTTCCTGATATCACACAACAAAATAAAATAATCCCTTTCTTTCCTCTAAAATCAATAATTTACTGTACAATCATAATCACAGTCTATGGTCAGGGATTGCTGTTGTACGTACTTGATTTGGTGCAGTCGGATGATTTTTGTTTGTTTCTCCAGCTCAGTGGGGAGTGCTGCTCTTTCCGTCCTCTCTGTCTTGTCTTTTTTAGCTCGGACAGAAACGAGAAGAGGTTCATCACTCTGCTACCGTGTGAATAACAGCAATAATTGCAGTACGAAGGGAGACATTTTCCTACTTGGTTGAGTTTAGATACAGGCCTCGCGTTTGCAGTAGGTGTGGTTGTGTTGTTTGTTTTATCTCGGGTCACTTTGTCAAGTAAAATATGTTCATTCAAGTGTATCCCAGATGAAGATGTATTTCCAGAGTGAAACGTGTGTTGGTTTGAAAGTTGAGAATGAAAGGTGTGTGTCAAGTGTATTTTTAACATTCAATACGTCTCAATGTTGCATATTAATTGATTTTTGTGCTATTTTAGCCAACACCCCATGTCAATTAATCGTGAGTGCTATGAATGAATTGAATAGCTTCAATGCTTTCCTCAAAAAAATACATTGAAAAACAAACAAACATTCTCTTTCAAATCTGTTTCTGCACACTGACTCTACTTTTTGCTTCTTGTGTTTATTAATTTAGAAATTTAGAATGTGTATGGATTTTCTGAGAATAAAAAAAGTGGACTCAATAAATAAACAAGTCCAACTGTCTTCCGTGGCGATTTATTGAAAAAGAAAAATATATGAGAAACAATGAACTCACATAGCATGTTTGCGGCTTCTACAGAACTCAGTGGGTCTGTAGGACCTGCAAACCAGACCTAACAAAGCACAGGGTTTATAAAACCTTAGTAAGTTGTGCAAGCCAATTAGCCTCTCTGAGGTTCTCATGAACAGAGTGTGCACAAACTCCAGAGCCATACAACCGATGCATCTCCATGACCCACACTTGCCAGATTATAATAATAATACACTTTATTTTACAGGCACAATTATCCAGAACAGAAGCCATAACTAAATGGCTCATGACCCAGTAGTCAAATTAAACATTCTTATTTGCACATAGTTTAACACCTTTGGATTCATAAGTATGACATTTATTTTCATTTAGTACAAATATACTAAAGGTTCTTGGAAATTAATAGCATATTCTTTTCATTCACAACTATCAAACTTTTATCTACGATTGTGCTATTTTTTATTTTAATTTTTTTGATTTTAGCTACCACTTTTTTACATTTAGTTTTTAGATAGGCTACTTACTTTAGCTTTTATCTAACCTTTTGTTACATTTAACTTTAAGCTTGCGTTCTGCCTCTTTTTTTAGCTTTACCAACTCAGTTGTCACATCATTTCATCCCATCAGTCATTCATTGCTCAGCACTTTTTCTTTAGTTTTCTTGTTACATGGACAGTTTATCAGATTTACTGCACTGATTAGAGCTACACTGATGCTCTACTCTTTTGGTCTTTCTCGCTGTCTTCTACCTTATAGGGAGTTTCGTGAAGTTAACAGGACCTCAGAGGTGTTGCTAATCTCATTAGCTTCCTGCTGCAAGCCAGCAAAGACTCCCCAATGCTCCCTGCATTTAGTGCACCGTCATGCTGACACCAAAAACACATTCAACAAAGCACACTAAATGGGATGTGGGTAACACAGGTACAAAGACCTAAATAAACATGAGCATGCTTGACCAGTTGGCGTAAATTCCCATGATGGGATGCTTTATTATCTTGGAGAGAGAGTGTGAAATCTAGTTTTGATATGAGTTGGTTTTAGACCCAGAATGCTTTGAACTGCCAAGCAGTGAGTTGCTTCAGGGGTGAAGAAGAAAAACAGATGACTACTGGTTGGAAATGAGAGATGGCAAAGAGACAATGGTGTCTTGGTGGGAATACAAATAGGTCCCATAACTCTGGCGTGCCCCTTGAGCAGTAGGGTTTCATGTGCTGAATCTACGGTGTCATATAGAGCTAGTAGCAGGCTGGCAAATCGATAAATCTATTAGGTTCGAGCTGTAGTTTATGATGGTCTATTTTGCTCCCACATTTCCAATAGTGATGTACTCCCAGCTTCCCCGCAGCGAGACCCATCAGTGAAAGGATGACAGAGCAGAAGAAGCGTGCCAAAGGCGAGGAAAACCGTTCACCCCATCCTCAGTAAAAGTAAATGACACAAATGCGAGCCGAGCTCCCATATGTGGAGCAGATAGACATCTCCACCCTGCTTCCCAGAGCTCCGTCCAGGACGAGATAACTGCACCCGCAATGACAAATTAAACAGTGCTCCGAGTTTTAGAGCAGCATCTAATCACACTCTGGGCAGGGAGCGTCATACTGCTGTGATGTATCAACTGTATCTACAGAGAAATCTTCTAACGGCAGCGACAAAGTAACACTGCACACCACTCTGACAGATTGGCTTGAGAAGGTTTTCTTCGTATTTATAGTTTTGTTGATACAAATGTAATAAATGTTGTAGTTTTTTTTTTATCAGATACAATATACTGTGTTCCAATTCATCAAAATCAATTTAAATGGTTGTACTGTATCTGTAGAAAAAAAAAAAGATAAATAAATGGATGGATGGATGGTTGGATGGGTAGGTAGGTAAGTAGATAGATGGGTGGATAGATATGTGGGTAGGTGGGTGGATGGATGGATGGATGGATGGATGGATGGATGGGTGGGAAATCAGTTCGGATTAGTCAACATGAACCAAATTGTTGCTCTCTCTTTAAACATGGATAAATACTGAAATACACAAGTATTTTACTAACAGGTATTGTTGTTATATTTAAAAGGCTGTAAAGTGCCCTGGTTCACAGGTATAAAATAATTGGTTTATGAGATTACTGATTATTTAACCTGTGCAGGTGACAAACTGTTTTATTAGTGTCATTAAGCTGATAAAGGGTGCTGCAGACCCAGGTTGCTTGCTGAAATGGAAATTAGCAGATCCTTGTTCTACAATCATAACATGTCTTGTGATCATTACAGCAGTCGTTCAATTGACATATGTCCATGCTTACATCGTCCCTGCTCTTTGTACAAAACAGTCTGAACAAACTCATACTGCAGGATAGGAGGGAAATCGATGGACATCAACATCAGTCTGAGCGTTTCTGTCAAATCTCAAACTTTATCAAACTGGAGCAGCTGAGGAAAGGAGGTTAGACTGAGTGTAGGTCCAGTCTGCATGTAGGTCTGTGTGTATGTCTGTTCTTTTCTACGTGTATGTCTCTCTGCATGTAAAGTATGCACATAAAGTTTATTCTGATTCTGATGTAAGTCAGTTTTTTTTCTGCGTGTAAGTCTGTTTTCATGTAAGTCATTTAGTCTGCGCATAGGTCTGTCCATCTGCTCGTAGGTCCATCTGTCTGCTCTTAGGTTTGTCTGTCTGGTTTGTCTGTCTGCATGCAAGTCTGTTTGTCTGTGTGCAAAACCATCTGTGTGTAAGTCTGTCCGTCTGCATGTAAATCCTTCTGTGTGCACGAAGGTCCATCTGTCTGCGCATAGGTCTGACTGTGTGTAGGTCTGTCTGTCTGCATGTAACTTCGTTCATATGCAAGTAAGTCCATCTGTCTAAATGCAGGTCCATCTGTATGTATCTACCACAGATGTGGTAAAGAGTGGAGAAGAAAAGAATCAAATAAAGCCACACCTGGCCACATTTTCTTCCTGTTTGGTCAGGGAGACAAACCAGCAACATTCCATTCCTACACCGTTTCTCTAGCCTACGCAAAGATGGACGGACATATGCACAGACGGATGGGCCTATATGCAGTTGGATGGACTTATATGCAGACGGACGGACC